AGGACCAGGACTGGACACCCTGCAGACACACTGACCCCCCAGGACCAGGACTGGACACCCTGCAGACACACTGTCCTTGCAGGAGTTGACACTCCTGAACTAAACAAAGAAAAATAGCGCAACCAGGACCCCTTAACTTCCAGTTCTGAGGTTTATCTGTCCTCAGTTGTGTTTCTCATTGTACATTGACAGTAGGCGACTCTCTGTAAAGTGGGCTGGATTCTGGACTTTCTGGATTTGAATCATTAGCAATACCACCGTGTAGGTCCTGATGGAGTAGTAAAAGCAGTAAAGAGATCTTTAATAATACTGTAGTCTCCATCACAACCCTGTTCTTTATAACATATCAGTCAGTAAAAACCTCTGTCTGTTTCCTCCACTCTAAAACCAGTCCCTTCTCCATGGTTACCTCAGGTCTTTACCTGACTTGACGGAGCAGTGGACGTGTGACTTGGACTCATAGTAGACCCAGTCGAAGCCGGCCTCCACCGCCAGCTGAGCCAGCGTGCCATACTTGCGTGGGTCCCGGTCAGAGGTGGTGATGTCTACGGCTCGGCCCTCGTAGTGGAGTGAGTTGGGCGGGTGGTGGCCGTCCTCGTCCCAGCCCTCTGTGACACGCAGCCTCACCCCAGGCCACTGGTTCATCACTGCGATGGCCAAGGCGTTCACACAGTCCTTGCAGCGCTGAGAGAGAGAGGTGGGCAGGGAATCAGTTCCAACAGGTCAGTCACATCACTGTTCATATAGACTCTCTGGCTGGAACATTAGGCGCTCCGAGCGAATAACCAATCTGTCCCGTGTGAGCTGCAGGAACAGCTGGAACAGGGCGTGGCCTGATAGATTCCTCAGGGATCTGAAGTATCCACAGCCCAATCCCATCCAATTCCTGTAGCAGGACGGCCTTCAGCTGTGGTTGTGAGGATGTGGTGGTGTGTGGGGACTGAACTGGACAGGTCCACTTGTTCCACTGGTTTCCAGCAGGAGTGAGATCTACTCTGGCCAGGGAAGGTGTTAAGGACTAGACAGGTTGCAAATGAGAGGAAGCCATTGTCCTTATCTTGATCATTTGGCAGTTATGAAATTAATTTAAACTTTCATGAAATTGCATCTTGAAGGGATGTCGAGTTTGGGCTTCCATCTGTTCTCCATCCTAAATTAATTGTCTTTTTGCTTTAATTGTGTCCCCATGCCCTTGTTTTCCTACTAGGTCTGAAGTACTCCACTGGTTTGACACTCTCTATACTCTGAGGATTGTATATATTTGGATCAGATTTGCTCTCAGACTGAAGTCTGTTTCATGAGAGCAACTACACCTTCCTTGCCATAGAGAGAGTGCATTCATTTGACTAAGGAGTTCACAATCATTTGGCCAATGAATGAACACACACACACAATATAGGCTTATGTGTCTGTTTTTTCTGGTAGGGATGTGGCAAAAGACTGTGACTTTTCTCTATTTCCCAGGTAAGCATTTGAGCTGTGTCCCTGTAAAGAATTAACCAGCCTACCAGCCTGGCCTCTCAATCTCATCTTGTGTGCAGACCTCAGGCAGTGGCCCCTGTCGCCAACTCCATCACTCATTAATAGAGATGGGGAGGCGCTGAGGAGCCCCAAGCCTCTGCACACCAGCCAGTGAGACAACTGGCTATTTTCTTAGTCTGGGAAGTTTTATTTGAGAAAAGTGGAATGTGACCTAGTGGATGTCAGATCAGCAATGGCAGCAGCATGACTTTACAGTGGAAATCAGAAGGGGGATATACAAATGTGACCCCTTGATCCCTGCTCTCATGCAACAGTGCGGGTTGCATCTGGTGTTCAGTTCAGTTCAGTTTATTGTCAAATAAGCATTTCATTGCACTTACATTATGCCTATGACAATAAACTGAACTGAACGGAATAGCAGATTCAACCCACAGAGATGTCCCGCGCTTGCAGGAAAGCAGGGATCGGGGGGCACTGTTTACTAATGCTGCCGCTATTGCTGATCTGCAATCCACAAGGTCACGTATCACTTTTCTCAAATAAAAGTTATCAGACTAAAAACATAAAGCTTATTATGATTTGTGCATTAGGGCTGCACAGTGGTGCAGTGATTAGCATTGCTGCTTTGCGGCACTGGGGCCCTGGGTTCAATTACGGACCTGGGGTGCTATCTACATGGAGTTTGCATGTTCTCCCCATGTTCACATAGGTTTCCCCCAGATGCTCCGATTTCCTCTCACAGTCCAAAGACAAAGGCCAAGACCAAAGGCTTCCTGGGAAATTGGCCCTGATGTGAGTGTGTGTCCTGTGAAGGATTGGTATCCCATCCAGGGTGTACCCTGCTTTGTGCCCGTTGCTTGCTGGGATAGGCTCCAGCTCCCTCCCACTCTGAATTGTTAGAAGCAGCTAGAAAGTGGATGAATGGATTTGTGCTTTAAATTGCACAGATGCCTACCAGCCTGGCCTCTCACCATCTTCTTGTGTGCAGACACCAGGCAGAGGCCCCTGTGTTAAAGGTCTACTTTGTGAAAGCCTGTGAGGCATTAGATTGAGCAAACAGGGTTTGCATGTCTTATGTCCCTAAATGACCACAACACCCCTTCCATTTAACTTCCACATGTCTGAGATACCCACCTCTTCCCCTCCCTTTCCATCAAGGTATCCTGTTCTCTAGTTGGTGACTTCATATTTTAACTGGGTGCTCAATGTTAGATACCAGTAACCACACCATCAGAGTGAAAAGGTGTTAAATTGAAATACAATTATACAATGCCTTGGTAATATTATGGTACACAGTAAAATACAAAATATTTCTGTAGTTGGAATTTCCCCAATGTCATGAAAAACAATAGATTTTATTGACATTGACTTCGACTTAAAACTGCCACCAAATCTCTAAACTTAGCTACAGATTCTCTAAGTTGGATACACTGGTTTAAAATGTTAAATACTGGTGCACAAACTCTAAATTGCTGGAAGAATTAAATCTTACTTCTCCTCTTTCCCAAACAGGTGTGTTACTCCCTGACTGCTTTGTATAGTCCCCGCTAACTGCACTGCGCAGGCCTGCCTCATTCATAATACTAAGCACTGCACACAGCGGATTTTAAAACACACACTGGGAAAGAACAAAATGCTTAAACACACAGAACCAGCCCAGGGGTGTGTGCCCAGGAGAAAGTAAGTACTAGTGAACTCCAGCAGTCTTCCTTAATATGGACTTGACTTGAGAACCAAAACCCTTTCCTTGATGACCACAGTGCTTTGGTGTGTACTTCCTTATATCCGCTGCTTGTGTTTAATGATGCCTAACATAAGCTTTAACATCTTATGCTTGATTTTTATAATAACAAGAACTCCTCTTGCTTCTGCTTAGCTTATGGATATGAGCTAGTGAGGTCAGGTTGTCAGGTCAATGTGACAAAGGATACTGGTTTCACCTTGCTGCTCTTCTGCTATCTGACGGCAAATTGACTGGAAAGCACGCTGTTTCTGATGTTTAAGATCATTGTCTGCAGCAGCAGAACTCAGTACAACAGCAGCACCGACATCTCTCTGTTCCTTGCACGTCAAGTACTTTATACCAGCCCTGCTTTGGAGCAGTGAGAGGGGAAACACCTGACTCTAAACCCCTAGACTGAGAGAATAATATCTTTGCCCCAGACGGACAGGCAATATGATAATCCTGTCTAGATGATGTACAAGCATGCACTACTCTCCCCACAGCAGGCACAAGCATCACAGGATGTTCTTAAAATGGAAGAAAGTAATCTGTGTGATATTCTAAGTGAGCGGCCCAAAGGTTACAGAGGATCAGAAATGACTGCCAAGCTTTTCTTTTGTTAGTTGGCGTAGTTGGGTGTAGCTCATTATTCTTAGTTGGGTGTGGTGGAAGGTTAGACCCTTGCTGACAAACTCTGCTTATAAATGTCATGTTTTCACACTGGACCTAGACATATCCCACGATTCTTTGCAACAACTTTGTGATGTAACTTTACTGGGAGTCTTTTCTCTGGTGTAGATCCAGTCAAAACAATGACCTGTACAGCACAACTGGAACAAAATACAGACAGGCACATTGGCAATTGGCTCCCATATTAGTTACACATGGTTTAAAATAGCAAGGCCATTCACAGTCCATTTTCCACAGGTGTTTTCTCACACTATGTCTTTTCTGGGGTTGTGAGTGTCTGTGCAGCCAGGAAAAGTGGAGCAAACCTAAATAAAAATCAATCCTTGCAGCAGAAAAAATAGTTCTGATGTAGCTAGAAGAGGGTTTCATCTTTTCTTCACATTTTAATCTGCTTTTTTGGTCTCCAAAACACAATTAAATAAGCTAAATAAAACATTTGAAGACAACAGTAACCACTGTGCAATGTCAGTGAAGAATTACTAAGTATTTCTATGCACTTTGGTGACATCAGCCAGGCATTTTCTTTTTCAGTAGGAAAGAATCCTTTATCTTCAGTTAAATTGTACCACCCCTCCCCCGAAACAATGAGTCAAAGAACAAAGTCATTGTGACTGGCTGATACATTTCCAGTGCTGTTTCGCGTTGGAATTTTGCAGGGAATTTTCAAGGTCGGTCGGAGCTGTTTTTTTAACGTGTTCGCACCCTCTCTAGGCTTCTTAATCAGCGGTTCTTTCCTCTCTTGCGCGCTGGTAGCCGGGGGAAGCTCGGCGTGCTAGTGTGCCTGTTGGCAGACAAACCCATGACACCTCTTCAAGCTGTGCGGTGGAGTGAGTGTGGCACTATTTCACACACACAGTTTTTCAAACAGACCTTAATCTGTCTGCTCAGCAAGGTACGTGAGACCCTTTTTTAGCGTGGGGTATCATAGAATCATGTACTATCAATTACAGTCCAGCTTTTTAAAGTCACCTCAGTTTTCCTTTTCCTTGGTCTCCACTCCCCTTGCCATGTCTCTTTTCATACTCCACTATCAGATCTACAGTCCCCTGATCACACTGACACCTGGAGATCTACAGTCTACTGATCACCCCCTCCACACTCCTGTTCACACTGACACCCGGAGATCCTGATCACCTCCTCCACACTCCTGTTCAC